GCACCATTTTACATTCATACCAGCAATGCATGACGATTCTGATTTCTCCACATCCTCATCGACACTTGTTATTTTCTGTTTCTTTCATAATAGACATCCTACTGGGTGTGAGGTAGTGTCTCATTGTAGTTTTTATTTGTGTTTCCCTAATAACTAATGATGTTGAGTATCTTTTCATGTGCTTATTGGCCATTTGTATATCTTGTTTAAAGAAATGTTTATTCAAGTCCTTTCTTTTGGTTGTTTTTCTTTCTGTTGTTGAATTGTATGAATTCTTTATATATTCCAGAAGTTTTTAATTTTGATGAAGTCCATTAATCTGTGTTTTCTTTTATTGCCTGTGCTTTTGGTGTCATACTTAAGAAATCATTGCCTGGGCCGGCCCCGTGGCTTAGCAGTTAATTGCGCACGCTCCGCTGCTGGCGGCCCAGGTTCGGATCCCGGGCGCGCACCGACGCACCGCTTCTCCGGCCACGCTGAGGCTGCGTCCCACATACAGCAACTAGAAGGATGTGCAGCTATGACATACAACTATCTACTGGGGCTTTGGGGGAAAAATAAATAAATAAAATTATTTAAAAAAAAAAAAGATGTCTGCCTTCCTTCACATCAACTCATTCCAACAACTTACTTCTTTTTATTTATTTATTTATTTTTCCCCCAAAGCCCCAGTAGATAGTTGTACATCATAGTTGCACATCCTTCCAGTTGCTGTATGTGGGACGCGGCCTCAGCATGGCCAGAGAAGCGGCGCGTCTGTGCACGCCCGGGATCCGAACCCGGGTCGCCAGCAGTGGAGCGCAGGCACTTAACCGCCAAGCCACGGGGCCGGCCCATCTTAACCATTTCTAAGTGTATAATTCAGTAATGTTAATTTTATTCATATTATTGTGCAACCAATCTCCAGAACTTTTTCCTCTTGCAAAACTGAAACTGTATACCCATAACAACTCCCCGTTTCCCCTTGCCCCTAGCCCCTGGCAACCTGTTCTACTTTCTGTCTCTATAAATTTGACTACTTTAGCTACATCATGTAAGTGTAATCATACAGTATTTGTCCTTTTGTGACTGCCTTATTTCATTTAGCATAATGTCCTTAAGTTTCATCCATGTTGTAGCATGGTCGGAATTTCCTTCCTTTTTAAGGCTGAGTAATGTTCTATTGTGTAGATACAACCACATTTTGTTTATCTGTTCTATTGTCGGTGGACACTTGGGTTGCTCCTACCTCTTGGATGTTGTGAATAGTACTGTTATGAACATGGATGTACAAAGATCTCTTCGAGATCTTGTTTTCAGTTCTTTTGGATATATACCCAGAAGTGAAATTGCTGGGTCCTATGGTAATTCTGTTTTTAATTTTTTGAGCGACCACCTTACTGTTTTCTGTAGTGTCTGTACCATTTTCTATTCCCAGTGAACAGTGCACAGGGTTCCAATTTCTCCCTTTCCTCACCAACACTTATTTTCTGTTTTTTTGATAGTAGCCATCCTAATGGGTATGAAGTGGTATCTCGTGGTTTTGATTTGCATTTCCCTAATGATTAGTGATGTTGAGCATCCTTTCATATAAATGGCTTGTTAGCCATTCACATACCATTTTAGGAGAAATATCTACTCAAGTTCTTTGTCCATGTTTTAATCGGGTTATTTATTTTTTTGTTGTTGAGTTACAGGAGTTCTTTATATATTCTAGATATTAACCCCTGATCGGATATGATTTGTAAATATTTTCTCCCATTCCTTAGATTGCCTTTGCACTGTTAATTGTGTCCTTTGATGCATATAAGTTTTTAATTTTGCTATAGTCCAATTTGTCTATTTTTCCTTTTGTTGCCTGTGCTTTTGGTGTCATATCTAGGAAATCCTTACTGTGTACTTTTATAAAAGGGAAGCACACAGTAAAGTGCACTGATATTAAGTGTACAGCTTGATGGATTTTTATATATATACGCCCTGTAACCACCTCCCAGGTTAAGATAGGGGATGTTTCCAGTGTGCCAGAAGGCCCCCTTGTGTCCCCTTCCCTGTCAGTAAGCCCCTCCCTCTCTAAGGTTGTCACTCTTCTCGTCTCTATTCCCATATGAGTTTTGCCTGTTCTGGAACTTCACACAAATGGAATCATAGAGTGTATGACTTTTGGGCCTAGCTTCTTTTGTTTATCAATATGTCTTTGTTACTTTTATCTTCTAATCCTTGTCTTAAATTGTTCGGCTATTGTATTATTTTTCAAAAGCTCCTCCTTGTTCTCTGAAACTTTTTCATATCACCTTTTTTTGTTTATGAGTTCAATATCCTCTCTTATATCTTTAAGAATTGTTCTATTTTTTAAGTTTTCACTTGTTACCTGTATTGTCTATTACCTGTAATTTACCTTTTTTATGTGCTTGTTTTGATCCCTGAATTTTATGTTGGAGATTTTCTGGAAATGTCTGGTGAACCTTGGAAATCACCATTATTAACGACATTAGTAAGCATCATTCCAGTCAACATTCTTGACATAAATACAGACAGAAAGACAGATGGATAGATGCATAGAAAAAAGATTTTTCAGGGCCAGCCCTGGTGGCCTAGTGGTTAAGTTCAGTGTGCTCTGTTTCAGCAGCCTGGGTTCAGTTCCCAGGCACAGACCTACACCACTCATTTGTCAGTGGCCTTGCTGTGGCAGTGGCTCACATGCAAAAACAGGAAGATTGGCAGTGGATGTTAGATCAGGACTAATCTTCCTCAGCAAAAAAATAATAATAATTTCAAAAAACAGAAAAATTCAGCACATACTAATTAAAAATATTAGAATAAATTTATGCAAATTTAACATAAAGAAAATTAAGTGTAAGTGAAGCAGTTGCTGGACTTCAGGTAATGGGTTCTTTACTCAAGAGGGCCTAGTTTCTAAAAGATCCTTCTGAAATTAGGAGAATTGCATTCATTCCATGTTTCAATTTTAGTATGCATTTGGCTCCTCCCTATAACAGATAAGGAAATTTATACCCTATTCCACCCCCAGATATTTTAGTATCATTTTTGCTTTATCAAGGTTATAAGTCTGTATTTGGTAAGCATAATTCTCACAGCTGTTTAGCTTTAGTTCTATATTTACATGGTTTCAGTGCGCACACCGCTCTTTTACAATGAGCTTTTCCATTCATGAATCCTTTATTTTGATTCTTCTCCTCTAGGTAGATTCTATCAAGTAATAGCCTCAAGGAGGGCTCATAAGTATTGTTCTTACTTCAGAATGTATGTGCCAGTCGGCCTTTATATTTGAAGGACAACCCATATAAAATTCTTAAGCCCCACTTTCTTCAGAACTTTGTATACCCCCGTGCTGTCATCTTCTGACAGTGAGAGCCCCGTGGCCCTTTTACCTGGTGCCTTCTGTCATCTCCCGTGGCTGGAGCTCACTGGGAAGTACATTATTCTGATAATCCCTGAGATCTTTCATTTTTATTTAGATATCTTTTGGCATTGAATGTTCCTTTGTAGAAGTCTGAGGGTGGTCTGATTTCCCCCCTTTTGTAACTAACGTTTGTGCTAGGATGCCTGTAGAATTTTCTTCATTCATGAAGTCCAGTCACTGGACTAGCTTATGTCTTGCTGTCCCATTGTTCTGTAATCCTTTTGTCATAGGACAAGATGGGTCTTCAAACCTGCATGTTTAGTTTTTCTTCCCTTTTATTTCTGAATATCTTTTCTGTTGCATCTGTAGCTTTTCTACAGAAGCAACGCTGGTTGCTTTGGTCGCCTTTCTTCTCTCAGATCCGTGTTAGCATCTTTTCTCTTTCCCTCTGCATTCATTGAGATTCTCTCAAGCCTTTCCTTTCTGCCTCTGATTAGGTTTCCACCTGTTTGTTTCATTCCTGTGGTTTCTGATGTTTTTGATTAAATGTGTAAAGGGGCTGTTTTGACCTCCTCGTCTTTCCTCTTTCTCCTACCCCTTCCTCAGCCCCCAACTGCGGCAGGTCTCTGGGCTCAGGCCTCATGTGCAATACTCAGCTCCTTGGTATTGTGTTCCGTCCGATTCCTTGCACCTCCTTTCCTATCCTGGTGGTTACTCGTTCTGAGGCTCCAGGCTCTTCATGCCCTCTGTAAACTGCCTGTTGCATGTTCTGGTTGGAAATTATCTCAGATTCACCAGGTTATTTCTCCCAAATCAGCTCTATTTTGGCCTTTTTTGTTCTGTCTTTGATGATTTTCTTTCCATTATCCCTGCCTACATTTTTCTGTGTGTATTTTTTCCTTGCTGTTCCAAACCAGTTGCCTACCTCATCCTGTTGACTCTTGTTTTCCTATTCTGATATCACAGGAGTTCCTGTTGCTCAAAATTTCTTGGTGCCATTCTTCATGGCTCCATCCATTGATAAATCTCTATAAATTCTTAGGATTTATTTTGTACTTTTTGGCTGAATCCTCTCTTAGAGGGAGAGTCTTCTGTTAGTGTGACATTTTTAAGTGATTTTCAGTGTCGGGTAGTCTACAGAGTTGTAACGAAGACTTGTTGAGATTTTTGTTTATTTTCAAAGTATATTTTCCTGATAAATCTGCTTTTCATCATTGTAGGAAGTACTGTGGCTGTCTTGTGGCTGAAAACTAGTGAGCGCTGTTTTGCTTTACCTGATTATTTTCTCAGCTTATAAAATCATTCCCTGTAGCAACACCAGTTCTCTTGATACTGAGCCATCTTTCTCCTTCCCTTCTGTTCTCTTCTAACTGCTTAACCTCTTTGTTTTACAGTGAACATTTAAGATGTGCCAGGCTCTGTTCTAAGTATTTTACATGTATTAGCTTATTTAATCCCCTCACAACAGTCTTATCATCCTGATAAGTAGTCATTATTACAGAGAAGGGGAATCACTTGCTCAAGGTGGTAGAGCTGGGATTTGAACCCGAGAAATCTTGCTCCAGAGTCTGGGCTCTATCCACTAAGTGAACTGTCAAATATTGAGTGTACCTCATAACCTTTCTCTTTGCTGGAATCCTGAATATGTTATATTTTACAGGTTTTTCTGTGGAATTTGGAACAATTTTAATTTACACGTGTGAGAAGAGTTGCTGGCCTCAAAATCAACAGACTCCCATGGAAGAATTTTGTATTATACAGGAAGACCCAGATGAATTATTATTTAAGTAGTGCATTTCCTTTTATTTGGATAAATTAAAACAAATTTTAATGTCCATATTTGTGTGTTTTTACCTCATTTTGACTCATAAGTTATTAATTCTTGATTTTGAGTGTTAACGTTTTTGCTTTTTGGAACTTGTGCTGAGGTGGGAGCCAGGACTTAGAACCTCCTGGCTGTGGGCTGGTTTAACCCTTCCAGAGTCAGTGGCCTGTCTCCACAGTGGCAGCTCGGGATGTGGCTCCTCTGTAGCCAAACCAGAGGGCAGGTGTTCCCCACACAGGCAGCCTGGTGGACATTCTAGTGGAGGGCAGCTGGAGAGCCATGAGCAGCAGTTAGTCTCTTGTTAGTCCTGCTGCCTCTGCCTTCACTGCACTCTGTTGCCATCCCTGGGTGCTGACAGATCAGACCACTGGACCTGCTCCAGCTGCTTGAGGCTCCTGCCCTGAGACATGAGCTGTTTGGACTTGCCCCATGCTTCCCCACCCAAAGGTCCCTGCCCTCACCTACTCCCACCTTCTGCCCCAGCAGCATCCCAGGGAGGGGGACCCCTTTCTCTTTTCTGGACATTGTCCCTCCATCCGGCTGCCCACCTTTCCAATCTCCCCTTTCTCCATTCAGTTTTTCTGTTATCAGACTCTTCCTTTCTGCTACCCCTCGACAGTAGCATGAAAACACTTCCACCTGGTGTGTACAGACCTGCTCTTTGCCTGCATAGGTCAGGAAACTGGGTATCAACATAAACAATTTGATTTGCTGCTCTGGTAAATCACACATTAGGCCCCTGTTATCATGAGATGTGGTTCTCCTGGGCAGTGTGTGAGTGGTGAGAACCTACCTGATCCTCCTGCCCCTGGGGCACCTGAGGGAAGGGGGCTGGCTGTGTAGAAACTGCAGGTGCTGGTTGGTGAGGTTTCAGGTCCTCTGGATTTGCAGGGCCGAAACGGAGGATAGCCCTGCAGGAAGAAGTTTTGATTCCTCCTTTCTCTGTCATGCCAGAGAAGTGACCACCAGTTTCCCTGTGGCACTTCTATGGGCAGGGAATGCCTCAGACTGTCAGACAACTTACTCCACTGGAGCAGAAAACAAGACTGCTCAGATTTACAGGTACATTAATTTGGATTTATTTAAATGGCCGGAGAATACCCACCTTTGGTGAGAGCATGGCGTAGAATTGTTGCATTAGAGTATGTTTTTCCAGATCAGAAGTTGATGTAGACATTTTCAGATATCCGAGCTAGGTGTCATGTTTTCAACTTTTAGACAGAGACAGACTTATGCTTCCAACCAAACACATTCTTTTTTTTTAATTCTTTTATTTATTTATTTTTTTCTGAAGAGGACTAGCCCTAACATCCAATGCCAATCCTCCCCTTTTTTTCTTGAGGAAGATTGGCCCTGAGCTAACATCCGTGCCCACCTTCCTCTACTTTATATGGGACGCCGCCACAGCATGGCTTAACAAGCGGTGCGTGGGTGCGCACCCGGGATCAGAACCTGTGAACCCCAGGCTGCCGAAGCAGAGCGCGCTCACTTAACCACTTGTGCCACCGGGCCAGCCCCCAAACACATTCTTAAACCTAATTATACACACTTGCATCAGGTCTTATCTAAATAGAATACAGATTAGCAGGGGCATTCTCATGATCCAGTAGAAATATATTTGCAACATATATTGTTAAGGAAGCAAGATAGGAGAAAATAAGTCCGGTGAGAACGTATTTAAATGTAAAACTCTGCATCTTGCTATGTAAAAGACCTAGATCTAGAAAGACAGGCCAGGAGTTGGATTAGGTGTGCGGTGTGGGTGGGGTTTTCAGTTGTTACTTTTGCACTTGTATCCCATTTGAGTTGTTAAGGTGGGCAAAAATTTTACACTTTATACACGCTGTTGAAAGATAAACTGAGGCATAAGAGTGTGTTTGAGGAAGAATCAGTTGGAATCAGGCAGCATCCAATCTAGCAGATAGGAGCTCCGAGGAGCTGTACAAAATGAGAGACTTTTATAGGCAGAAGGGAGCAGGAACAAGAAAGTTAAAATAGCAAAAAAGGGGGTTGGTTATTACTTTCCCTCAGGGATGGCAGGGGTCTGCCAGGCAGATGACCTCACTAGTGCTGATCAGGAGATTCCTGATTGACTGGTTTAAGATTCCATTTCTGGGAGAGGCGAAACGATCATTAAGTTTCAGGTTGGTGATGTGGAGCTTAGCATAAGCAACTCCATTTTCACTTCTTGTCTTGTTTTTAACAACACACACACAGAAAAGCAATGCCATAGAGTTAGGTGCCCAGGGGAAGGGGAAGGCAAGGGGAAGAAAAGGGAGGCAGGAGAAGCCAAGGAAGGTGGCTCCCGTTCACTGAGTGTCTGGAGAGCAGGAAGGTCAGCATCCTGTGAAGGGCCTCTGTTAGGTTTAGATGCCAGCAGGGGGGGCTTTTGTGAGAGCCAGGCAAAAGTAGGGAAGGAACATCAGCAGCCCACTATGCAGGGGTGCCCCCTAACCCTGGTTGGGTGCTCGAGCCCTTCCTTCACCTCGTGCATCAGGGCAACTGCCTAAGTACTCCTCATAGACTTGCTTGGTGTGTGGTTGGTGAACCAAGCAGCTGATGAGAGACCACAGAAGTCAAAAGCATTTTCCTCTGTTTTCCATCTTTTCCCTTTTTCTTCTAATACTTTTTTTCTGATTTTAAAAATAACATTTTTGAGGCCGGCCCCGTGGCTTAGCGGTTAAGTGCGCGTGCTCTGCTACTGGCAGCCCTGGGTTCGGATCCCAGGCGCGTACCGATGCACTGCTTGTCTGGCCTGAGGAGGTGGCCACATACAGCAACTACAAGGATGTGCAACTATGACATACAGCTATCTACTGGGGCTTTGGGGAGAAAAAGGGGAAAAAAAAGGAGGAGGATTGGCATGGATGTTAGCTCAGGGCTGATCTTCCTCACACACACAAAAAATAAAAAAAACATTTTCATTGAGGAGCATGAGCATCTGCGAAATACGAAAAAGTGTAAAGAAGAAATTAAAAAAATACAATGCCACCCCACATAGATACATAAAAATATTAACCATGGTTATTCCTGTTTTTTAAATATATTTTGTTTTTAAAGAATTTAATCAATTAAATGGTTTTGTATCTTTTTAATTTAACATTATATTGTGAGCATTTCCCCCATCAATATTTTCCCACAACATAATTTATAATTGCTGCAAAGTATTTTTTTTATGTGCATCCAAAATGTAACACAATTTTGGACAATGTTTTTTCCATTTTTTGTTCCTGTAATGAACATCTCTATGGCTGTTTTTTTTTTTAATCAGTGATAACTGCCATACGATAAATTCCTAGAATTGGAATGAATGAGTCAAAAGGGATGCACAATTTTAGGGTTTTTGAAATCATATTGCCAAATTACCCTCTAGAAGGCTTTGCTTCAGCATCCTTACCTGCAGTGTATGGGAGGGCTTGTTCTCCTACTGTTTGACAATAATAGTCTTATACTTTTTTTTTTTTGAGGAAGATCGGCCCTGAGCTAACATCTGCCAATCCTCTTTTTGCTGAGGAAGACTGGCCCTGGGCTAACATCCACCCCATCCTCCTCTACTTTATGTGGGACGCGGCCAGAGCATGGCTTAGACAAGCGGTGCATCAGTGCACACCAGGGATCTGAACCGGCGCACCCCGGGCCACATCAGCGGGGCGCGCACTCTTAACCGCTTGCGCCACCGGCTGGCCCCAACACTCATCGTTTTTACCAGTGTAATAGGTGAAAATAATTTGAATACTATTTTGCATGTGTTTGATTAAATCTTAATATGCTTATTGATCATATCTCCCATTTTGTTTGTGAGCGCTTATTTACATCCTTTGCCTACATTTTTTGTTTGGGTGACGTCTGTTTTGTTAATTGGTAAGAGCTCTTTACATACAGGGATATTATTTTCTAACCTATAAGGAAGTCGCGGCTGCGAGTTCAATCGCAGGCTAAAAGGCGACCGTTACGCTTATTAGGCGGCAGAGCGGGTCTGTGCGCGTCCCTGCAAAACACGACCGGGCTGGAGCGCACCCAGAGGGGTGAAGAAGTCTCCTGTCCACAGCCCAGCCACGGCTCCGACGGTCGACACGACTGGTCCGCGGCGCTGCCCGCCCGACGCCGCCCGGCGGCCACAGTGCGCAGGAACGGAAGCCGGGCCGCCCCTCCCCCACCCGTTTCCGGCCGCGGCTGGCTTCTCCCGCCTGTGCGCCGCCGCGGCTCGTGGTCGTCCCGCCATGGCACTGTCGCGGGGGCTCTCCCGGGAGCTGGCCGAGGCCGTGGCCGGTGGCCGGGTGCTGGTCGTGGGCGCGGGCGGCATCGGCTGCGAGCTCCTCAAGAACCTCGTGCTCACCGGCTTCTCCCACATCGACCTGGTGAGGGCCGGGCGTGCGCGCGGCTGAATGGCGGGCCGCGGTGCCGGGACGCGGGGCTCGGGGCCCGAGGTCGGGACCGGACTTGGGGGGCGGCGGCAGGCCCAGAGGCCCCGGGGGCGTGGTGCCCGCGCAGAGGGAGCTCTTCGGCGGGGACGGAGCGGGCCTCGCCGCACGCCGAGCCCGCGGGCCCGGGTCTTCCGGGCGTCCCGCGGTGGGCCGTCCCCCGCCTCCCGGGCCGCGCCGATTTGTGGCGGCTCTAGGGTGTGGAAGCGGCCTCGTGTCTTTCTGCTTCGGAGCGGTTCCCCAGCTTTCAGGGGAGGCAGGAGGTGATTGTTTGAGTCCCTCGTGGATGTTGTGACTGTTCAGTTCGGAGGTCCCCTTAACTCAGAAGTCGTGATGCAGAGCAGAGGGTGGCGGTAACAGCAGCCGGGACCACTGAGCGCTCGTCCCGAGCCCGGCGCGGTCCTGAGCAGTTTACTCGCATTAACGCGTGTATCTTCACTACCACTCTGAGGTTGCAGACGCTATCTTCATCCTGTTTTATTTTTAGCTGATGAGAAGAAAAGTGAAATGCAGTGAGGTTTAGTAACCTACCTTGGGTCACGAAGTAAGTGGCAGGACTCCTTTAGGGCTCCCGCTCCTCTTTTCTGGGTGCAGATAATCGGCGTGACTTGTCGTTGTCACCATAGATAGTATACTCGCTTATTTCGTTAAAGATATTGGCTAGGATTTTAGCTTTTGCATTGGTGTACAATGGCGGGGAGCCACTGTAATTTTAAATCATTTCTATTAACGTAAACTTTTTAGAGATTGGAGATGTTACTTGGCAATTGGATGTGAGTTTAGAGTGTCTTAAGGTGTAGTGGAAACATGAAATGAAAAATACAGTAGATGTGGCCGACTGAACTAATAAATGAGTGACTGGGGGGAAAAGAATTTACGCATTTTTCCTTTGGCTTTTACAGAGTTAGTCTTCCCATCCAACTCTGTACCACAAATCCAAATATGATTGTGCCTTAGCTGATGACTACTGATACTTGTTTAAAAAAAATTTTGTAAGAGACAAAGTGAATTTGGGCACCTGAAAAATAAATGCTGATCCTATTTTTATTTGGTTTAATTTTTATAGTAAATTTAAAAAGTACAAATAAAAAATTTTGTTTAGGTGGTTATGTTTTGATGGTTTTCACAAATTACAACCAAAACCCTCAGGATGTTTCATAGCTAGAACATTTGATTACTCTTCATTTAAACTTATTGAAATGGAATGAAAATAGCTTTAGTCATTATTTTCTTCTCATGTTTACTTGTAAGCAGCAATTAGGTAAAACTTAAAACATGACACTTCTTTAACCTTTTGTAGAAGTTTCACTTCACAGCCCTCAGGTAATAATTGTAAGTGAAATTGTGTGTGGGTAAAGACTTCTGAATTAAAGAAAACAGCCAATGAATTATATAATGCATTTTCAATAAATACACATAATTTTATGCCATCTAAGGAATTTCCTAACATATTTGCCAGGGTGATTAGGCAAAAAAAAAAATGCATCTTTTCTAAAATATTTTTGAAAAAGTTATCTCTGAAGTTAAATCTTGGGTTTTTTAAAAATATGCATTAAATTATTTTTTATTAATTTAACAATTTTGGTATTATTGGTCTAAAAGTATTTTCTCCACTAATGTAGCAAATATCAAAAGTTCTGTATTACGGATGCTGAGGATAGTGATTTTGCTCAGACATACCAAAAAATTTGTGGTTTATTTGGGGTTTATGCATTTGTAGATTGATCTGGATACTATTGATGTCAGCAACCTCAACAGGCAGTTTTTATTTCAAAAGAAACATGTTGGAAGATCAAAGGCCCAGGTAACTTTATATTTCTCATACGATTTCTATTTATCTGTTCATTTATATTTCTATCCTTTGGTTATCTTCTATTTATGGTATCAGATTCAGACTCTCTAGTAGGAGGGAGAATATGGGGGAAGCCATCTCTTTTTAGCTGAGAGATTGTGAAGAATAAAAAGATACGTTGAGTAAAGAACTAAAATAGAAATGCTCTACCCAAGAAATGCTCTACCCAGTCCTGTAGTCCCCTTCGTGCTTACACTTCTGATCGTTTACTTGTCTTGAGCCTGTGTTCCTACACTAGCTGGAGATTGGCTGCTCCTATTTGGGGGCAAGAGAAGCTACAGCCTAAGACGACGATAGCTTCCCTTGAGGTTCTAGACACCCTTTAGTTCTTGACCTTTCTTTAGTTCTTGAATGTTCCATCTTGATTCAGGGTCTTAAAACATCTTTTCCCTTTGCTTTTCTCCCAGCCCTTTTGGCAAACTCCCACTCTTTTCTCCTTTTCAATTTTAGAATTCTGGCTCCCTTCTCTAAGAGTGCTCTCCTAAACCTCTTAGACTAAATCAGATCTTCCTCTCAACAACCTCTACTTTTTCTATGTATCGTGTATCATAGTTTGCAGTTATATTTATCTAGGAGGTTATTTGATTAATGTCACTTTTGCTTACCAAGTGCCTTATATACAAATCCTGGCACATAGAAGATGCTCAGTAAATATTTGTTCAATGAATGGCACTTGGTTACTACATTTTTATTCTTGTTGAAGCTTGCCAGTTGTGTAGAAGTGTATATGGGAGGGGGGCAGTTCTCCTGTTATTTTATAAATATGTGTATATAGCTTAATCTTAATGAAATTTTCTGTCACATTTTTATATTTCTTTAGTTTTTAATATAAATAAGATATTCTGTAAGTAGATGAAACAACTGTTGTCTGCCATAAATAGATTTCAAATAACATATATAAATGTTATAGTAAATTAGTAATTTAGTGTTGTTTGTTTTTCCAGGTTGCCAAAGAAAGTGTACTGCAGTTTTACCCGAAAGCTAATATCATAGCCTACCATGACAGCATCATGAAGTATGCTTTAATTATTATGTTGCAAAATTGTGTTTGCTATGAATTTTTAATTAAACCTTTAAAGTATACGAGATTTTTATTAGCCAGATATATGAGCTGAAAGTCATTCTGCTTTTTAAAAATGATTTTTCTAGAATAATTAAAATGTGGAAGTTTTGCCCACATAAGTTAAGTGGCATTCTTTTACAGTTTATATATGATTTGAATGATTTGGATAATAGGTGAGGTATTTTAATACCTTCAATAAATAAGTTACAGTCATGTGTTGCTTAATGACGCGACACATTCTGAGAAATGTGTCATTAGCTGATTTCGTCCTTGTGCTAGCATCGTAGAATGTACTGAAGGGGAACAAAATTTGCCACCCCAAAATGTGTCTCTTTAGCATGAGGATTATTTTAGGCTGATTATTTTTAAGAAACACAAGACTCATTCTTGTTACCTCCCTCTTAACTGCCTAGAAGAATTCAGATTAAAAAACCTGACTCAAGGAGCCAGCTATCACTTTAGCATGACATGAGCTAGGTGGTAGATAGGGAGGAACCTAGAAAAGCCTGTTTGGTTCTGCGCTGTGTTCTTCGGTTTCTGTGTGGCCACACAAACACTTATTTTCCAACCTTTGCTCCTTTTCATCTACCTGTGAATTGCCTTCCTTCCTTTGAAGTCCCTAACTTTCCTCACCCCTCAACATTTTCCTTAGCTGAGGATGGTATTTAAGGTGAGGGCTTTGGCCATTTTGTCGAGTTACTCAGTTTTCCTAGGTTTCTCCCATGTATACATGTTGTTAAACTTTTGTTTTTCTCCTATTAATCTGTCTCATGTCAATTTAATTCTTGGATCAGCCAGAAGAACCTAGAAAGGTAGAGGAAAATTTCTTCCTCCCCTCCAGTACTTAAACAGACCTAGATAGTATAGCCTACTACATACCTAGGCTATATGGTACAAATCTTGTGAGACCAGTATCGTATATGCGGCCTGTCATTGACCCAACGTCATTATGCAGTGCATGACTGTACTTGGAAACTTATAAAGGACTTTATATTCTTGTTATAATCTAAAAGATATTCTAAACTATGAAAAATCCTTATATGTGATGATTCAGACTTTTCTAAATATATTGCTTTCATTCTCATCAATTTCAGCTGTGGCCTTTTTCAGTTTAAAAAGTTCCCTCCGGAAATAATTCGTTTATTAGGACTGTGGCTTCTGTGATATAACACTGAGAATTGCGATGAGGCAGTGTTTTTGACGGTACATAAATACGCTCTGATCTCAGTCAAGATAAATAGAGTAAATATATAATTTTGGAGGTATTGGGGCAAAAGATCCCTGGGCCTAAATTATCCTTTATCTGTGGTTGTTGTCTAGCTCACAAGTAAATGGTAGTAAAAATAATGAGTTTTTGTTTGAGGTCTAGAATTAGAGAAAGTCTTACACTTTTTTAGGGAATTTGGTCTCCAGCATCCTTTGTATTCTCTGGATGTTTGCTCTATAATCCTGCTTATAGCTCTACAACCTCCTTACCCTGTGCTGCTTTCCCAGTGCTGCTAAAAGCAGGGACCCTAGGGGCCTGAACCCTGGCTGACCCTGACCATGTGAGGTGAAGCCAGAGGCCAGGCAGATCCTGGGAATGTGTTCTTTATATGTTCCCAGGCACTTGCTGCCCGGAGGCAGCCTGGTGGGACCAGTGCCATCTTTCTGCCAGTTTGAGATCCTGCTCTTGTGCCCTAGGTAGCTGGCCAAAAAGGATGTGTAGTCCCTCATAGGAATTAGGGGGAAATAATTTCTTTAAAGTTTGGAAAAATTCAACCCTGTCTATATGGTAGAGACCCCAAATATCAGTTATTTTTGCACTATTATTACTTTAATATGCTTTTTAGGACCCTATATTATACTGTGAAAATCATGTGTAAGGCCAGTTGTTTTGGTGACCTTTTTTTGTTTTACTTTGTAGCCCTGACTATAATGTGGAATTTTTTCGACAATTTATATTGGTTATGAATGCTTTAGATAACAGAGGTGAGATTATTTTAATACTTTTAATTTCTAAGTATTTCCTTTCCTCCATAACAAGGCTGTTTACACATTTAGTATTAATTATTTCCTTATTAGTTAGAACTTAACTAAGGGGAAGTAAGATCAGATTTAAAGCTTTTCAATAGATTGTAATTTTAACTAGAACTGGTTCCAGGAAGGAATTTAGCTATCATATACTTTGTTATTCCTCCAAAAAGTATGACTATAGGGCAAGTTAAAGTTACTAAAGAGGGAGACTACATAGGGTGTGTGCATGTGTGTGTGCTTCAGATTAGCCTGGCACTTAAACACAGTGTGGCTCCCTTCATTTATGTGGAGATCTAAGAAATATCAATGGCCAGATCTCACCCAAGACAAGTTAAATCAGATTCTGTGAATGGGGCCTGGACATCATATTTTTTCGAAGTTCCCCGGATGATTCTAAAGTGAAGTGGGCTGAAAATCACTGTTTTAAGAAGGAGGCAACAGGGTGCCAGAGTTAGTATAGAAGCCAGGGCTCTTGAATTATTTTGGGTATATCTGGTGCCATAAAATATGAGGCTGGATTCTACTAGATGTACACATTTTAGACCATTTAAGCTTTTCACAAGATGATGTGATGTTTCATTTAATCAAGTATTGTGTAGCCAGTCATTGTTAACAAATCTGTGTATCTGGAATGTAGGGGTGAAAATAATAATATTCCTTGCCTGTAATTACTTCCACGTGTAAAAGTACATCTGTCAAGTGAGTTTGTAACAATTTTGGACCAGAAATACCAAAAGAAAAAATATACAAAGTAGCATGAGAAAGGGTTAGGATGACTCTTAACTGGACTCATGTTTTTTCCCCTAGCTTTAAACTACCTTAATAGTTCCAAGTTGATATTCCACATTCTCCATTCATTTCCATGTATTGCTTGATAATTATGTTAGAATGATTGCAAGTTAAGGGCTTGGAACACATTGAAAAGATTTCAGCCAAGGCTAATAGAGTAGGCACAGCAATAGAAGAGGAAGATGGCACTTTGGGATTAAAAATTATATGTAGGGGTGCTTTTCCTGGAGTCAGTTTGTGGTACAGATTTCTCATGTTTGCAGTTTTGCTAGTGAATGTCTTTTAAATGTCTGTTAACAGTTGTATTGCTCTAGTCATAGCTATAAGAAAATTGCACATAAAATAAAAACAAGAAATAGTTTGGGTAAATGTCATCCTAATTAAAGGTAACTAATTTCTTTTTCTTTTTCTTTTTTTTTTTTCCATAAACTCCTGCTAACTAGTATTTTTCTTCCAGCTGCCCGCAACCATGTTAATAGGATGTGTCTGGCAGCTGGCGTCCCTCTTATTGAGAGTGGAACTGCTGGTTATCTTGGGCAAGTAACTACTATCAAAAAGGTAAAGAAAGTTTTTTTTACTTCCCAAATATATATTTGGGACCTTAAGGAGAGAAGAAGTAAACTTTGGATTTGTATGATATGGACTGTTCAGTATCTAAGACGTAAGGATTTTTGTGCCCCTATAAAACTTAGGATGCTATAAAGGTACCCCAAAAGAGTATAAGCAGAGATCTTTTAGCTCTGGTTTCACTTAGCTTTGTTTCACTTAGCCTGTGTATTAAAATCCTTAGACTGGTAAGCATAATAAACTTGCCTTTTAAAATTCTTTGTAACCATTAGACTGTATGTCATGCTGTAATTGATATATGGTAGACCAGGATTCTAAAAAGTTACTTTTTGTCTAAAGACATCTGAATTTATAGATCTAAAGAGTACTTTGAAAAAAATTTGTGGTGTGTTTGTGAAATATTTCAAACATTTAGATAAAATTAGAGAATAATAGAGCAAATACCTGTGAAGTCATAGGCCAGTTTTATAAAATTTCAGCATTGTGATTCATTTGCTGTTCAGATAGTTTTTCTTTTAGTTCTTTTAAGAAATTAAACAGATACATATGAAGAATCATTTTGCAGGTTTTGAAACTAAAAGGAATTACACACTACTTAAAATATGGTATTTTTGTCTGCTGTTTGGCAGTTTACCCATGTTGAAAATTGTGGCTCTACTTCATTTGTATTAACTGTTAGATATTACTCTTGGAAGCTTATTTTGTATCATTCTACAAATACTGTTGTAAATATCAATGTGTATTAAATTTAGTTAAATCATTGGGACCTTCAGGATCTGTTGATAGGTTAAGGCAGTAGTTCTCTTTTTTTCCACTGTGATATGAGGGATGACTGCTTGCCATATGGCTGCCCCCAATAAAGCGTATTGGAAGGATACTAGAAATGACATTACGGAGAAGACTAGATCTGCTGTCATTTATATTAAAACATTATTTGCAGGATTTGGTTCTTTAACCATTATTAGACAGACATTGCTCATTACCATGATCCTAGGGCACTAGTGTGTATTAAGATTGAGGTTGAGAATTGCTCAGATGAAGAATGTTCATTTAATGGTTTTGGAAAATTGTCTCAGGTGCCATAGACTTCTAGAGATTCCTTACAGTGTAACTTGAAATGTAATCCTATATCAAAAAAAAAGAAGATTTGGTTTGGTAATACCTAGGATTTTTCCATGTATCTAGATAGCTCTTGAAATTAATACTTGTAGTTCATTTAATTTTTAGGAGATTATAAGGTAAGGCTATGAATTAATATGTAAATAACTGAGTTTCACAACTTTGAGAGATAATTGGTTGGAAAGCTTACAGTTGGGAAGCTTTCTACTAGTTTTTCTTTCTGTTTAGTGTGATCAAGGTAAACTTCTCATCCTTGATATCAGGTGCAGTAATTTTTATTTGGCTTGTTGTAAGTGGTGTTCACTGGGCCAGGAGTCAGAGGAGTCCTGGCTTAGCCTTAGTTTTGACTGTGGTTGATTTAGTTAGCTTTTATGTTATAGTTCTTTATCTGTAAAGTAGGGATTTTGGAGTCACTAATATTTTAAAATTTTCTTGACATTATAAAACCCAGTTGGAATGTAGATGAATGAATGAGATGTTTATGATTACGTTACCTTATAATGTTGAGAAACCACCATCATGGGATAAATGTTTTTCTCATATCCTGACTTTGTAGGGTGTGACTGAGTGCTATGAATGTCATCCCAAGCCAACCCAGAGAACTTTTCCTGGCTGTACAATTCGTAACACACCTTCAGAACCTATTCATTGCATCGTTTGGGCAAAGTATTTGTTCAAGTAAGAGTATATGTATTTCTGCACATATTTTCAGTACTGATGGTAGAAAATGGGGATCGTGTTTTATTTAAATACCTTGGAGAAGTTGTACTTATGATGAATGTTGTTTTAAATATGGTGAAGGGACAACTTTAGTGGCTTTCTTGTGATATTTCTTGGGTTAAATTAAATTCAACCAACAGGGCCGGCCCCGTGGCTTAGCGGTTAAGGGCGCGCGCTCCGCTGCTGGCGGCCCGGGTTCAGATCCCGGGCGCGCACCGACGCACCGCTTCTCCGGCCATGCTGAGGCCGCGTCCCACATACAGCAACTAGAAGGATGTGCAGCTATGACATACAACTATCTACTGGGGCTTTGGGGGGAAAAAATAAATAAATAAAATCTTTAAAACAAACAAAAAAAATTCAACCAACATTCATTACATGCCTGTCTTATGCCACGGACTGTTTATTTAGGAGGCTTAGTCTAATAATGGAGACAGGCATGTGACTAAATGAATACAAATCTGTGTATTTGGAACATACTTGTAAATAACTCATTGGTTAAAAAAGAAATCATAATGGAAGTTAAAAATACTTTGTAATGATAGTAAGGATACTACATGTGAAACTTGTAGGATGAATCGAATGTGGTAGTTGGAAGAAAGTTATAGGCTTACACACGTGAAGAAAGGTGAACATTTATGAGCTAAGGATCCAACTTACGTTAGAAAAAGAAAAACAGAACAAACAAATTAGAAGGAAGATATAATTGAGATAAGAGCAAAAAAATTGGCAAGTTTGATCATGAAAAGGAGAGGAGAGATAAATAACTAAATGGGGAGTATAATCTCAGCACAGATTAGAATGATGATAAGAAAAAAGGGGAGGGCCGGCCCCATGGCTTAGTGGTTAAGTGCGCACGCTCCGCTGCTGGTGGCCCGGGTTCGGATCCCGGGCGCGCACCCACACACCGCTTCTCCGGCCATGCTGAGGCCGTGTCCCACATACAGCAACTAGAAGGATGTGCAACTATGACACACAACTATCTACTGGGGCTTTGGGGGATAAATAAATAAATAAATAAAATTATAAAAAAAAAAAAAAGAAAGAAAAAAGGGGAGAGGGATAATAATAAGAGAAGACCATGCCAGTACATTTAAAAATTTAATGATCTGGATAAATGCATTTAAAAAAAACTTACAAAACTGACTTGAAATAGAAAGCCCGACTAGCATGTTGCCTTAGGGAAATTTAATCAATGGTTTAAATTCTTCTGAATAATGCACCAAACCTATGTGAATTTACAGTTGGTTTCCGCTAAACTTGCAAGGAATAAATCATTCTAATCTTATATAAACTCTCCCAGAGAAATTTTTAAAAGAAATACTTACTTCATGTCCTGAGACTATCATGTCTTTGATAGCAAAGCCAGTTAAGACCATTAGGGGATAAAAAGAAAACTGCAAGACATCCTCATTCATAAATGTAAATATGAAAATCCTATACAGAACATTAGCATACGAATCTAGAATTGTATAAAACAAAAAGTATATCATGACCAAGTTGTATTTATTCCAGGAATGCAAGCATGGTTTAACGCTAGAAAAATCGATAAATGTCATTGACTTCATTAAGAAATTAAAGAGAACCTATATAATCTTCATAGATGTAGAAAAAGCATTTGGTATAACTTAGCAAACACCCTTTCGTGATAAAAATTCTTAGTAAAATAGGAAGAGAACTTTATCAACCTGATAAAAGATATCTTCTAGAAACCTACAGCAAACTTCAGTTTTCTTTCTTTCTTTTTTTTGTTTTTTATTTTTTTGTGAGGAAGACTGGCTCTGAGCTAACATCCATTGCCAGTCCTCCTCTTTTTGCTGAGGAAGATTAGCTCTGAGCTAACACTGTGCTTGTCTTCCTCCATTTTGTATGTGGGACGCTGCCACAGCATGGCTTGATGAGTGGTGCGTATGCCCTCGCCGGGGGTTCCAAACCCACAGACTCCAGGCCACCAAAGTGGAGGGCAAGAACTTAACCACTATGCCACCAGGCTGGCCCCTGGTTTTCTTTATTTTTTGATTAAGGTATAATATATATACACACAGAAAAGTATCCATATAACGATGTAACTGCAAAATTTCACAAAAAGTAACTTGCAAGCTCTATTTTTTTGGCAAACAGTTTTTTCTTTTCTTTTCTTTTTTTTTTCTGAGCAAGATTAGCCCTGAGCTAACATCCGTTGCCAATCCTCCTCTTTTTGCTGAGGAAGACTGGCCCTGGGCTAACATCCGTGCCCATCTTCCTCTACTTTATCTGGGATGGTGCCACAGCATGGCTTGACAAGCATTGCGTCGGTCTGTGCCCGGGATCCGAACCTGCAAATCCCGGGTCGCCGCAGCAGACCGCATGAACTTAACCACTATGCCACCGGGCCGGCCCCCAGGTTTTTTTTTTTATTTTTAACAGACTTTACTTTTCAGAACAGATTTAGATTTACAGAAAAATTAAGATAGTACAGAGTTCCCACACCCAGTTTCCTCTGTTCTTAACATCTTATATTAGTGTGATACATATGTGATAGTTAATCAACCAATATTGATACATTATTTATTAACTAAAGTCTATAGTTTATGTATATTTCTTTAGTTTTTACCCAATGTCCTTTTTCTGTTCTAGGATACCATAATACAATTAGTTGTTATGTCTCTTTAGGCGCCCCCTTGGCTGTGACAGTTTCTGACTGTCCATGTTTTTGATGACCTTGATGGTTTTGAAGAGTATGTCAGGTATTTTATAGGATGCCCCACTATTGGAATTTGTCTTATGTTTTTCTCATGGTAATACTGTGGTTATAGGTTATTGGGAGGAAGACTACACAGGTAAATTGCCTTTTTCATCACATCATATGAAGGTCCCATATTATCAATATGGTTTATAATTGTCAATGTTGGCCGTGATCATTTAACTAAAGTAGTGTTTGTCAGATTTCTTCACTGTAAAGTTACTCCTCCCACCCCTTTCTATACTGTACTGTACACCTAAGGAGTGGGGAGCTGTGTTCCACCTACTTGAGGGCAGAGGATCTACATAAATTATTTGGAGTTGTTCTGCCTGGAAGATTTGTCTCTTGTCACCCATTTATTAATTTATTCAGTCATTTATTTGTATTAGTATGGACTCATAGATATTGAATATATTTTATAGTACTTTGGCTTATAATCCAATACTACTTTATTTTGTTGCTCAAATTGTTCCAACTTTGGCCATTGGGAGTTGTTTCAGTTGGCTCTGTGCTCTCTGACGTACTGGAATCGGTATGAATCGGTAGGAACTCTTACATGTTACCGTGGGGTTGTGGAAACAAATGGGCATTTTCTTGTAGTCTGTCACGAGCTTTGAGATAGTTTTGGGCTTTTTTTTTTTTTTTAGCTGTACAAAGAATTCCTTTAAGATAACTTTTTTATAAGTCGTGTGCTTGAGGAAAGGTTGGAAAGTTATATTTCCATAAGTGTTATTAAAGCCATGAATGTGTGTTTTTTTGGAGCAGTTCCTTAGTTTCTGGTACTACAAGATGCTCCAGGTTCATCTTATATATTTCCTGCCCCAATCCTAGAGTCAGACATTTCTGTAAGGAACTCTGGTTCCTTTTATTGAAGAATGGTATTAGAAATCAAGATCTGAGTGCTTAGGCATGCTGCTGGGGTGTTGTTTCTTTTAGGCCCTCTTAGGTGACAGCAAAAAATATATTTATACTATTGTGTATATGTACACCAACACTAAATATTTCTATGTCTAACCATCTGTTTCCAACTTTAATCTGTTAGTACATGGATCATTCTAGTTTCCTCCCCTTCCTTATCTGTAAACTCCCACTCCAATAGTTATAAACCTGGCTCCCACTATTTGCTATCCATATACTTAATACAAGCAGTATTTTTAATGATGAAGATTTTAAAGCATCCCCTTTGAAATCAAGGACAATGTAAGGATGCTTGTTATTGCTACTTCTGTTTGGTTTTGTAATGACAGCACAATAAGATCAAAAAAAATATTAGGCTTAAGAATTGGGAAAGGAAGAAACAAAACTTGTCATTTGCATACAGTGTAGTTAAACTGCATTAAAAACTCCAAAGAATCTAGATAAATTATTAGAAATGGCAACAGCTTATTAGCCACATGGCCAAGTAAAAGATTATAAAAATTCAATTACATTTCTATACATAGCATCAGGCAGTTAGAAAATGTAATTTAAAAATAAATAACTCACTATAAAATCATGTAACTAACTATAAAAGATAATTAAATATAAAGCGTCAAAAAGCATTGAAGTACCTGACAATAAATCTAGACCCAATATAAAAAATTAGTGACTATTGGAACATAAAAAGAAGTACCAGGGGCCAGCCCAGTGGCGTAGCAGTTAAGTGCGCACGCTCCACTGCTGGCGGCCTGGGTTCGGATCCCGGGCGTGCACTGACGCACCGCTTGTCAGGCCATGCTTTTGCGGCGTCCCATATAAAGTGAAAGAAGATAGGCACGGATATTAGCTCAGGGCCAGTCTTCCTCAGCAAAAAGAGGAGGATTGGCATGGATGTTAGCTCAGGGCCGGTCTTCCTCAGCAAAAAGAGGAGGATTGGCATGGATGTTAGCTCAGGGCCGGTCTTCCTCAGCAAAAAGAGGAGGATTGGCATGGATGTTAGCTCAGGGCTGATCTTTGTCACACACACACACAAAATAAATATTTTTTAAAAAAATAATAAAATAATAAAAAGAAGTACCAAATAAAAAGAGAAGGGTGTGTTTGTGGATCAGAAGTCCCAATATTGTCAATATATCATTTATCTCCAAATTGATCTATAGATTCAATGCGGTTCTAATTAATGCCTCATCAGAGATTTTATTGGAACGTGTTCTGCTGATTCTAAAATTTATATGGAAGAATAAAGCTTAAGAAGAATGAAAACATTACTGGACAAGAATAGATAGAGGTGACTCTCTCTAACAGATGTCAAGATTTAATATAAGCTAAAAATAATTTAGTGTGTTGCTGGTACAGGGATAGAAAAACAGACCATGACTGAGATTGCATAGTAGATCCCAGTTGAAAGAAGGGATTAAATAAAAGAATAATTCATTATCAACGTGGAAAAAATTTATATTCTCTACTTCAAACACTATATAGAAATTGAGTCCAGATGGATTAAGTATTTAGATGTGAAAGGCAAAGCTAAATCTTTCTAATATAGGAGAAAGTCTTTATCCTCAGTGTTAGGGAACAATTTCTCAAGGAAAAAAAAATGTGCTGACCATAAAAGAAGGATTGATATATCCAAATTCATTGAATATCTTGTCTTCAAAAGACATTAAATAAAGTATAAGTAATAAGCCATTATGTGGGGAAAAATATTTACAACATATAATCAATTAAAAATTGTGATCTGAAATATATTTCTGTAATCTAAGAAAAAGACAACCTGACAAAATAATAGAAACAGACATGTTTTTCACTTACAGGGAAGCCCAAACAGGCGATAAGCAAACGAGGATATGTTTAACTTTATGACTAGCTTGCAAAATTAAGAATAAAACCACAGTAACATATTATTTTACACTCTCTAAGAGAGTTTGACAAAACATTGAGTATGGAGAGGAAGTGAATCAGTAGGAACTCTTATATGTTACTGTGGGGTTGTGGAAACAAATGGGCATTTTCTTGTAGTCTGTTAGGAGCTTTGAGATTATGGTTTTGGGCTGTTTTTTAACTGTACAAATAATTCCTTTAAGATAACTTTTTTATAAGTCACGTGCTTGAGGAAAGGTTGGAAAGTTAATATTTCCATAAGTGTTATTAAAACCATTTTTAGGGCCGGCCCCGTGGCTTGGTGGTTAAGCGAGCGTGCTCCACTGCTGGCGACCCTGGTTCGGATCCCGGGCTCGCACCGACGCGCTGCTTCTCTGGCCATGCTGAGGCCGCGTCCCACATACAGCAAC